TTTTGTTTTTTTAAGCTGAGAAACTTAAAAGATTTTCTATTGATGTAGGGAGCAGATCTCGGCTGGGTAGTCCAGGCAGGGGTTCAGTTTGGAACACGTTAATTTTGAGAGGCCTACTAGGCACCAAAGTGCAGACATTAATAGGCACTTGGATTTATGAACCTGGAATTCAGGGACTGCAGATCTGGTTTATAAATATCATGAGTTGGGGGGCTGTTGGCATAGAGGTGGTATCTAACGATCTGTTCTGGCTGTCCTCCTGAGCACCTGTCAGCCAGGTGGGTTTTCACCCAAAGTCTCAGACAACACACGGAGGCAAACCTGCAAAAGGGATAGGCCTGCAGAGATTAGAGCTATGGAAAGGGCAGTCAGAATCCGCAGGCAGACTTGTGCTCATTAAGTGATATTTCAATCAAGGGCCAACCAAGAAGCACCACTTTTAAGTGGCTGCAGTTATCTGAGAGGCAGCCCGGGCCCGGGCCAACTGCTCACCTGATATGTCTGGCTTCCAAGAGTCCTGTAAAAACGATGACTCAAAGGTCACTCTGGTTGATTTTCGCCTGCTGTGATGTGGATTCATCTGCACGCACGGGCAGCAGCAACTAGAGATGCAGCGTCTGCACTTGAAGGTGAAGCCGCAGGAGGCAGCCTGGTCATTTATGGGAAAAGGAATTGGCTTAGCAGTGCCCATGCTGGGCACCTCTGCCAGGTTCTCCTTTCTTTCCTATGGGAAAATCTAGGACCCTCTGGAGAGCCCTGATTCATCCCTACGTGCCCAGTAGCCTTCCATTCAGGGATCTCCCTGCATGGAAAAATCTGCCTCAGGGGAGATTCCAGCTCACCTTAACCATCCCTCTGCCTCTGGGAGTCTTAAGGTAAAATCCAGAAGCCCCTCCTCTTAAAGACTTCTGTCCCCAAATTCATAGTCCCACTTCTGCCCTATGGGAGGGGAGCAGAAGTTCCCTACAGGTGGTCTGCCCCTCTCAGACATGACCCAGGGAAATCTGATTGTGAGCCAAGAATAAACTATTGCTCAATCGGGTCCCTAAACTGGCACAACCCATGGCTGGCTGCTACTTTTAGGAGAGCCTTGCTAGTGTCAGGTGTGGTGGCACATGCCTGCAATCCCAGTGGCTGCAGAGGCTGAGGCAAGAGGATCGCAAGTTCAAGGCTGGCCTCAGCATCTTAGTGGGACCCTGTCTCAAAATAAAAAATAAAAAAGATTGGGGATGGAGCTCAGTGACAGAGCAAGCTGAGTTCAATCTTCATTGAAGGGGGGAAAAAAAAGCTTTGCTGTGGGGCCCTCCCTTGTCTCTATTAGTCTACACCCTTTTAGGGGCGGGGCGGGTTTGGGTTTTTTTTTTTTTTTTGTACTGAGGATTGAACCCAGGGGTGCTTAGCCACTGAGCCACATCTTCAGTCCTTTTTAATAACATATTTAGAGACAGAGTCTCACTGAGTTGCTAAATGCCTCACTAAGTTGCTGAGGCTGGCTTTGAAATCACAATCCTCCTGCCTCAGCCTCCCAAGCTGCTGGGATTACAGGCATATGCCACCGCACCCAGCTCTTTTAAGGGTCTTGTTGGGGAGCTGCCTCCTCACACAGATCATCCCTGAGAACTTCCTAATAGTCAAAATCTCCCTGAGCCTAATTTATAACAATTGTCCAAAATACAAAATCAAGGGCAGAGAATGCAGCTCAGTGGTAGAGGTCTTGTCTAGCATGTGTGCGGCCCTTATTTAATTCCCAGCATAGCAAAATAAGGAAATAAAATACAAAATCAAGTACCCCCAACCCCCATCATCCAAGATGTTCGGGTCTGAGATCAGAATGCCCACAACTCCTCCAGAGACCTGGGTGCTATCTCCCCTCCCAGCCTGCCAACCTCCCGCATGGAGCACCCCCCAGGCCTAAGTGAGCTGGGCCCCTAAAACCCACAGATTCTCATGGTCCCCAGGGCCAAGCACCCAGGATTGGGCTAGAGTCATCTCTTCCCCCAGCCATCTGCCTAGACCCTTCGTGCCCTGCCCTTCAGTGGCTTTGGAAAGGGACAGTCAAGCAGAGACCCCTTTTACCTGACACTCTGGGCACCTCAGATCATGGGCACAGGCTTCTCCCAGGCACTGTGGCTCCAGGGGGCGCTGTGCTCCCAGATCCTTGGCGGCCCCTACAGGGCAACCTCAGAAGTGATCCCAGTTGGAGCTCCCACCCCGACCTTTGTGGTCCCCTGGTGGAGGGAGACCTGTGGACACTTTGATGAGAAGGGGCTTGTAGAGAGCCCTTCCTCACCACCCTGGGAAGGCAGGCTCCAGTCACAGGGAAGTGGATACTTCTCAGAGGCTTCTGCTCTGGGCAGCCAAGAGTATCAGGAACAGCCTGGAAGAGCTGGAAACTTGGCCACATTCATCTCTAACCACTTCCTACCCTGACTAGCTCAAGCCAGACCTGAGGCTGTCACAAAGCCAGATCCTTATTGAGGAAGTGACTTCTAGAGCCCAGATCCTCAGGCCCCAAAGCAAAACTTCGAAGCTTTGACAAGGGTTGTGCTGGCTGCCCTCCCGTCAGTCATGGAAGCAGTGTGTGAACTTTCCTGTCACCCCACCCATCCCATCCACTCCCCAGGACCTGGTCAGACCAGCTGGAGAGGCCAGGCAACTTAGCCACCTTGGGCAGACACTCTGGGAGACTTGGATACAGCCTGTGTTCAGGAAATTCAGCATACATACACACACACACACACACACACACACACAAAAAAAAACCCTTCATCCTCAGTTGAGCCAATCACAAAGCACAGACTTTATTGATGTATTTGGCACTAAGACCCATACAGTTCCAGCCCTGCAGCAGAGGACAGGCCACTTTGCACTGCACCAGAGGTTTTATGAAGGACCAATAAGTTACTATCAAGGATGCTCAGAGGTCTCCTAGCTCAGCCTGGGAAGCTCAAGGCTTCAGGGAAGACACAGGGAGGTGCAGGGGAGGGGGGGTAAGCTATACACTGGAGAAAGGGGCTAGGGACAAGCCAACGTAGGGCATTCAAACATAATGGGGGAAAGTGGACCCCAAGGTAGGGACAACAGCAGGATGCGCTAAGAGCACAGGAAGAACTGCTTTGTGTGTTTCCCCACATTCCTATGACGGCCATCCTCGTTTGTCCCTAAGCACCTCAGCACCCTCGTGTAATCTGCTACACCACTTTCTCCCGTGGGGGAACTGCACCTTTGGGGTTGGGCATCAAAGTTCTTGGAGTCTTTTGCTATAATCACAGTCCCTGTTCCAAGCCAGGGAACTCGCGGGGGAGCATTCTGCGCAGGAGAAACAGAAATGCAGCTCCTCTGCCCCTCCCCCTTCCAGTTTCTGTCTTATTGAGGCAAGATGTGTACCTGGGTATCCAACCAGGCAGCAAAGGAGGCCCTCGGACGAGAACTCAGGGACTGTCAGTGGTCTTAAGCTCAGGCAGCTACCAGGATCTCTCTGTCTCAGCAACTGGGACAATTTATCAACATTCTCTCAACAATCTAGCATCTCCCGTGTGTGTACAGAGACTTTCCCAGAACAGAAGCAAAGCTGCCTGGTCCTGAATGTGCCCCCAAAGTGGTGTCTTTCCATAAAGATTTGTAAACAGGTATTGGTTTCTGGGACTATATTGAAAAGATGAGAGAGGGAGGAGTGGGAGACCACCTCTGTTGATGTCCAGGAGTGATTGTTCCGGGGTGAGCTGGTCCTCACCAACCACCAGAGCAGGCCAGCCCCCAGCCTCACCTCTCATGCTACAATCTGATACAGCCTCAAATTTAAGGCTCAGAGGTCAGGGAGCCAAGGGCATAAAGTGAGGATAGTGACTGGGGTCCCTAAAGGAGATTTATGGGGTCAGGAAAATTGCAGGATCCAGGAAGACAAAACTCCATCAGGATATACCGACCTTTCACCGGCCATTCGGTGTGCATCACAGAGCACATTATAAAGGGAGAAGGAGTCTCCCAGTTTATGGTACCCAGAGACCTGGAAAACCAGGGAAAGTCCTGTACACAAGCCTGTGCCGTGTCCAGCCTCCAGCGATAAGGAAATAGGAGGGCCAGGAACTGTTTCTTCTCAGAAACAGGGCACAGATCATTTGAGGACTCCCCAAAGTGGCCCTCTCTGCCACTTGTCTTGCATGAGGAGACAAATTCTATCAGCAGACAGGCAAGGTCTTAAGTCCAAGAGGCTAGACTATGGGGACTAAAGCATCATCATATTACAGGGACCTTGATGACAAATCACAGATATAAATCCTTAGGTCAGAGCTTCTGAAAAAACTTGTGTAAAAAAAGAAAGGTCTCAGCTCCAGGTCATCGGCCTGCGATGGGGGTGGGGAGCTGGAGGAGGTACTCAAGGGTGAGGGGTCACAGCCCCAGCTCCACCACAGAAAAAGTCTTTTCCAGCGGTGGCGAGGCATTCAGAGCACAGCTACACCTGGCTGATGATCTCTCCATTCTCAGGGACGAAGACTTGCACAGGGGCCCCCTCAGGTGATCTCCGGAGCACACATACTGTGGGCGCCTGCCAGGGGAAGGAAGAAAGGACAAGTGGGTGCGAAGCAGGTGGAAGTGTCAGGACAACTCCCATTACAGCATCCTATCCCTTGAGGACACAGACCAGGGGCTGCCTCCTCAGGAGGCTCTATATTCTCCAGGGACCACTCTTTACCCATTTGCCACTCCAGGTTCCTTTGGAGTGTGACTGGCACCCTGACCTCCTCCTTTGCCCTTTCCTGGGCTCAGTTTTCACCACCCTCCCTGTCTGGCAGGTTGGGATGGGCCAGGCCTAGCCAAAGACATGTCTGAACTTGCAGGAATGGAACAGCCCATCAGCGGGAGGGTGCAGCCTGGGACTGGGCCAGGGTACTACCCAGCCTGGGATAGCAGCTGCAGCCCAAAGAACTGGTGATGGGGAGGGGCACGCAGCTGTGCTGCTGGGAATCTGGGGTCTCAAAGACAGCACATCCCCTGCAGAGCCCTTGGTACCAGGGAGGGAGCATAAAGAAATGATTCATGCATACTATTCCACTTCCAGAATGAAGAAACTGGGTCCATGGAGAGCAAGGTTGCTCTCAGACCGGTATCAGCATGTTCTCACCTATATACAGTCCACTGACCTGGTCCTTGGCCTCTGGGAGGCCCAGATAACACTGTCAGTTATGGATATTAGCTGTGCATTGCCCTAATCATTTCGGTCTCTAAACTGTCCTATGAGATAAGTGTTTGTTTTTGTTTTTTTTTAATTACTCCCATCTTCCAGAGGAAGAAACAAAGGCTCAAAGGGGTTAAGTAACCTGTCCAACCATATAGCTTGTAAGTAGTGGGACTGGAATTTGAGCCTGGTCGTCTAGCTAGAGGGTCTCCACTCTTGACACCACCTGCTTCTCAGAGTGCTGCAGTGGAGGGGAGTCAGGGAGGAACTTGATGTCAGGCAATCACAGGTTCCAGTTTCCCCATTTCCAGACTCTCCCTTTGTCCCAGGTCCTCAAGTGGGGACTTTTCAGGGGCTAATTTAGCTTAGACTTTTGATTCTAAAGAAGCTTATCTGCTTTGTGGATCATCTGTGGAGCCATTAGGGGGAAAAAAGCCTCAGTTATCTTGCGGGATCATCGCTACCGGGGCACAGCGGTGTGTGCTCTGGAGCTAGATGTGGCAGGCAAAATTAGCAGGCGCCGCAGGGAGGTGTCTTCCAAAGCCAAGAGGAAATGTTTTTCGGGCCTAATCCTCCCAGCTGGGAATCACCTCGCCACTAGGCAGCTAGTTGGCTTTTCCATTCTTGGACCTGTTAGAAGGCAGCGCTTCCCTGACAGCCGCCCCTCCGGCCTCGGGTCCCTGCAGAGCAGCCGTACCTGTGCCCGGGGCCCCAGGGCTCGCCCGAAGCCCTCTCTCCCGGGGGGCAGGCTCCGGACCCGGAAAGCCCCTTGGCGGTCTAGCGACTGGGGGCGACTGCTCCGGAGGCGAGCCCGCTCGTGCCACGACTTGAGCTCCTCGGAGACGGCGGCCTTGCTGAGCCCGCGGCCTGCGGGGCTGTCCTTCAGGGAGGGCGTGCGCACGATGCGGCTGTGGGAGGGCACCAGGCGCTGGTAGCGCAGCGGCGCGCCCTCCTCCTCGTAAGCAGGCCCCAGGGCGACGCGACACAGCTCCCACTCGCCCGGCGGCAGGTGGCCCTCGGTCACCATCACATACCGCCCTGCCGCCAAGTAGCCAGGGGGCAGCAGCAGCTTGGGGTAGTGGGTGGCCAGCTCTCTGCCACAGGCCGGGCCCCACCCGTGGTGGCGGGGTGGCTCAGGTAGACAGAGAGGCCTAACAAAGATGTCAGGGCTGCTGCTGCCCAGAGAGGCGGGGTGGGAGACGCTGGAGACATCAGAGCCACTGTCTTCGGAGCAGGAGTGACAGGCGGGGTGGGGCAGCGGGGGCTTGCTGGGGGAGAAGCAGGAATCCGGCACCGTCACGGTGTAGTGAGTGGGGCGGCGGCGAGGAAAGGCGCTGCGACCTCGGCCCTCTGCACCTGCGCGGAAGGAATCCACCCTGGAAAGGGAGAGGGAGGTGCCATGAGGTGGGGCTGGGGTAGTGAGGACTGTGCATTGCAAGGATAATTAAAAACGGGAAGGCATTTGCCACACCATCCTAAGGCCAGAGCAGTGGGCACATGCGAGGTCTCAAGTCAACCATCCTCAGAGTAAATAAAAGAACCCCCTCCTAGCCCGATAGGCACATATTCCTTCACATTGCTCCTGCTCCCTCCACACACCTGTTAAAAAAAGTGACTAAAGTATGGTACCTTCCCAAACTTTTCCACTCGGGACATATTAATACAGCTGTTCTTTAGTATCTGTGGGGATTGGTTCCAGGACACCCATTCAGCTTCCCACCACCCTGTGATTACCCAAATCCACGAATGCTCACGTGCCTTATATAAAATGTTGTAGCATTTGCATATAACCTATTTGAAGTATACATTCTCCTGTACACTTTAAATCATCTCTAGAGTACTGAAAATACCTAATACAGTGTTGATGCTGTGTAAATAGTTCCTGAGAGTTGTTGTCCCACAACACTCGTCCAGGTTGCCTGATAAGCACACTTTAGATGCTTTGATGGTGCCTCAGGCCCTCAGGTGGGGTGGCTAATGCTGCCTGTCAGAACCAGGCACTGAAACTTACCAGGTAACAAGGTGACTTGGAAAGTAGAATACAATCAATTATTATTCTTCCTATTCAATGCTCGAGAATTTGCCTACTTGCTCAAATTTATTTCCTAGTTCCAAAATCAATAGATGTACCATATTCATAATGATTTGGTGACATTCCCAGAATAGCAAAAAATTTGAGTTGCCTTCTTTTTTTTTTGGGGGGGGCGCGGGGTACTGAACCCAGGGGCACTTTACCACTGAGCTACATCCCCAGTCTCTCTCTCTCTCTCTCTCTCTCTCTCTCTTTCTTTCTTTCTTTCTTTCTTTCTTTCTTTCTTTCTTTCTTTCTTTCTTCTTTCTTTCTTCATGAGAGAGAGTCACAAAAGGTTGCTGAGACTGGTTTCAAACTTGTGATCCTCCTGTCTCAGCTTCCTGAGTTACTGGGATTAGAGGTGTGTGCCACTGTACCTACCTAAAAAAATTGGAGTTGTTTTAAGGGCACCTCCCCAGCTAAGATGAACAAGGCCATGCTCTGCATTCTGGCTTTAGCTCTCAGACTAACCTAGGGTCCTGTCCATGATATTATTTAGTGAACTTTTTTGGGCAAACTTTTGGTTGATGATTTTACTATTTAAAACGGGCCCACAAGTACTGTTAAAGTATGTCTATAGTTTCTAAGCACAAGAAGGCTGCTTTATGGAGAAATGAAGTATGCTACAGAAGCTTCATTCAGATATGCAATTATAATGCCACAGATCATGAATTCAGTGTTAATCAAATATATTAAATAAGCTGTCTTTAAACAGAAACTCACATAAAACAAGGATATACATACACATATATATGTATCATATGAATATATAAGTGTGTGTATGTATATATATATGTATGTGTATATATATATACATGTACATATATATATATAATATATATGTATATATGTGAAGGAGGTGAGAGAAATGTATATGATCAGTTGATGAACAATGTTGTGACTAAAAGTTCACTGGAATCTAACCCTGAATTTCCACTAGAGACAATGGTTTAGTATTTGCTTGAGTTTATAGTGATTTTAAAGAATGTAACTTCTGGAGATGAGAATAGACTGTATATCAACTGAGAAAGAACTGCCCACCGGGTGCGGTGGCACACACCTATAATCTCAGCAGCTTGAGAGGCTGAGACAGGAGGATCATGGGTTCAAAGCCAGCCTCAGCAAAAGTGAGACCTTGTCTCTAAATAAAGTACAAAATAGGACTGGAGATATGACTCAGTGGGTGAGTGGCCCTGAGTTCAAACCCTGGTACAAAAAAACAAAACAAACAAACAAAAAAAAAATTGCCCATTGTCAGGGACCAATAACAAGACAATTGTGATAGTATCTACCAGCACAAGAAATCAGGATAAGGGTGGAAATCTTAAATCAAGTTATGCAAAACAAACAAACCAACCTGGAATCTTTGTTTTTGTTTGTTTGGTTTTGGTGTGTGTGGCGGGGTGGGGGGTGTTCTGGGGATCAAACCCAGGGCCTCATGCATCCTAGGCAAGGGCTCTACCAAACTAGCATCTTTGAAAGAAAACTTCTTACTTCCTAGGTGACTTACTTTTGGCTTCATTAGTTGGGTTGCGAAGGGACTAGGCATGTGTCACCCAGGGCATTCCACCTGTATCCTAGAGGCTTCCCACCCTCCATCTGTAGCTCTGGTTGGTGGGTGTCCCCACATCTCTGGGATGAGCTCTTACCTCAGAGACTGCGACTGGCCCCTCCTCCCCTGCATCTCAGGGGTGGCTGGAGCACTGATGCGGCCCTGCCTCTGGCCAGGAACACTGCGGAGGGGGACCACAGTGTAGGAGGCAGGCTCCAGCTGCCAGGGGCTGGAGGCAGTAGGCCCGTCCTGAGGCGTGGTGGCTGGGCTGCTGCAAAGGAAATGGAGATAAGTCAGTGACAGGAATTTATGGTCTTGACAAGAGCAGAAGAATGGAAGCACAGTGAAAGAGGGTCCCGAGTCAGTGGTTCAAACTGCCAGCACCCTGGGAAGCCTCCAGGATCCACTCCCCCTTCACACAGCTTAGAGGGGTCTCCTCCACCTCTCCCCTCTTTTGTCTGCCCCGCCTGCTCCCCGCCCTCTTTTCCTCCTCACGCTGACCTGGACTCACTGCTGGGCTCAGAAGACTTCCTAGGCTTCTCATAGGGGTGGTCGAGGCTGGTCTCCTTCCAAGGGCTGTTCTGGATCGGAGCCCGCTCCAGGCCCCCAGGCTCAGAACCTGCTGGTTGCAGTCCCTCCAGGCTCTGCGGTGGGAGAGGCCGGGAAGGCAGGGCTGGGGACTCTGGGGGAGGTTTTGGCACTTGGGAGTCCTCTGCAGGGGTAAAAGAAACCTGGTAAGGACAGAGGCCAGGGAAACCGGCCCGACAAGAACCTCCAAGCCAGCCATGCCGGGTGCTCCCTCCCAGGTCTTGCTTGTCCGACTGCCCCAGGCCGTGGCTCCAGCCCCATACGTTCAAAATAGTTTTATTTTCCTTTGGGACTCACCCCCCACCACACACAGTCCTATTTTACACCTGCCTCTTTCCACAAACCTCCCTGGGCTGACTCCTCGGCTCACATTACCCTACTGTCTAACCTTAGCTTCAGGGCCACGTCTAAGGCTGGTCTCCTGTTTACCTATTTTTCTTACTCTTGCCATGCCCGAGTGCCCTGTTCCTTATTGGCCTGGGCACTCCCTTGGGCAGGACCACACCACCTCCTTGGTCCACCTCGACCCCAATATCTTCAACATCTGTAAATTCTTCACCTGTAGACATGGGTTTCTTCCCCTCGTGCGGCCTCTTCAGTACTACCAATGGCTGGGAGCAGAGGCCTCTTGGGCTCTGACTGGTTCTACTTGAAACAAAGCCCCAGGGTGAAGGCCAGACATCTGAGGCTGACAGGCTCTACTGGGATTCACCTCTCTTCACTTTGTCCAAAGGACTCACCTCGCAGAATGACAGATGGTGAGCACATCCCTACCCTCAACCAAGCTCATACAGAGGCCCATGGAAACCAATACCAGGCCTGTGTGGGACCCTGAGCTGGCACCCCTGCCCTCAGGAGCTTGCTAAACCTTCCACTCCCCAGTTGAAGTCCTCACTCGAAAATTCTGTCAAAGCCCCAGGGTCCTGCAGTAGGAACCCAGTCTTGACAGGAACCCTCAATTCTCCCCTCTCACCTTCCTCTAGGAGTAGCCCATCAGACAGGGAGCTGTCATCTGAGGCACTGAGCTCTGGGAAATCAACGGCAACAGAAGAGAAGGAAGGAAGGAAATTAATGCATGGATATAAGTCATCAGCAACAGTGAACCTGACCCCTCTCCCAGGATAGTGCCATTAGCCTAAAATACCCACTGGATGTTAAATGCAATATTGTGAATTTATTAATTTAAAGCTAAAAAAAAAATCAGAAGTCAGGAAACCTGATTTTAATCCTGGCTGTCATTAACTATACAATGTGAATAAGACATTTCAGTGCTCTGGATCTCAGTTTCCCCATCTATTAAAAAATTTTTTTTTTTTTACAAAAGCTATGACTTCCTGGCAATGGAAGGGAAATGGCTGTTTTGGAAGGCCTTTGGGATGAAAAGAATTTTGCCAACTTTTCTATAGCCTTTTTTTTGTTTGTTTGTTTTAGTAGGGGTACTAGAGATTGAACTCAAAGGCACTCAACCACTGAGCCACATTCCCAGCCCTATTTTGTATTTTATTTAAAGACAGGGTCTCACTGAGTTGCTTAGCGCCTCGCTGATACTGAGGCTGGCTTTGAACTCAAGATCCTCCTGTCTCAGCCTCCCAGACTGCTGGGATTACAGGCATGTGCCACCAAGCCTGGCCTCTATAGTTTTTTAACATCACAAATATAACTCAACTCCAAGATCCCAAATCTAAGATCTCCTGCATTACCAGCAGAAGAGAAGAACCAAGTGGGAATCTGAACTGTGGGACTGCGAGGCCAGTTTAAGTTGGGGTCTGGCCAGCCCTGAGGAAGGTTCTTCAATTGGTGATATGGCAGAAATTTCCTAGAGGAAATGGAGTGTGGCATTACTCAGGAAATCAGAGGGAATTTATTTTTGCCATTGCACCAAACAAATGTAAGCTTTGAGATCTTGAGAGACTGTGACCTTGATAGAACTCACAAAACATTTTCAATTGTGTTTAACAAGGAAAAATGATGAATGACTTATGTTTCTACTGTTCCAATACTTTTCTAAGAAATATATATATGTATGTATGTGTATATATATATATGCAAATATATAAATATTTCATTCAATCCTCATTAAAAAAAAAAACATAAGGTAGCTATTATTATTTCCATGTAACAGTTGAGGAAACCAAGTCTTGGAGGAGTAATGTGGTGCAGTTCAATCCACCAAAAGACGGTTGAGTCAGAATTTACACCCAGTTGACTACAGTCTATCCTATTAACTACCACCCTCTCTTGGCTCTCCTATGAGCTAGCATCTAATGCATGGGCCATTACCAGAAAGTTCTAAGAAACGTAAACAGGGCCAAACATTTTGAACTCCTTTATAAAAGGAGTTGGCCAACACCTACAGCTCACACTCCAAATCTAGTCCACTGGCTGTTTTTACAAATAAAGTTTTATTGGAATGCATATACATATTTGTTTACTTTTTTTGGCATTAACATGGCACAGTAGAATAGTTGGGATAATTGACCACATGGCCCACAGAGTTTAAAGTATTTACAATCTGGCCCTTTATGAAAAAAAAATTTTGCCAATATGTGATCTATAACTAAAACAAAATACAAACTACCCAGAGCAGTTCTTAAATTTTGCAGACTGTATGGTGCAAGGAGCTGGACCGGCCCCCACAGTAGCCAGCCAGCCAGCATTTTGCTTGGTTCATAGCTAGGCTTTGCTTTGGAGTTCAGCTGAGACAGCTTTTTGTTGAATTCTGGTTCCCTGCCTCTGTGTTTTTACAAAAACTTGGAGAATAAAGACGTATTTTTTACAAATGTCAAGTTGAAGGAATGATGGAACTCTTAATGTAGTGGCCAAGCAGCCCAACCCACAATCAAGTCCTGTGTTGTGGTTAGAATACATGGTCCAAGGAAAAAGAACTGACATTCCCCAGCACCCCTAATCTTCATATAATCAAGCAGATTGGTTTTATAGTCAAAAGATACTATGCAAAGAGGGGAGCTGAGACACATCGCCTTTGGAGAGGTGGGGGCTGGGAAGGCATCAATCTGACAAACAAGTGCTTCCTCAGGGCTGCTCACCATCTCAGCCCCGTTCCCCACCCAGTCTTGGCTCAACTTTGTCCTGCCCTCCATCCAGCTTGACCTTCCCTACAGCAGCACACCCCAGGTGGACAGGAAAACAGGAAGACCATTCATACAAACTCTGAGCACGCCCAAAGCTGCACTGTTCAACATGGCAATCACCAGCCGCATGAGGCTACCCTCACTAAAATTAAATAGAAGTAAAAATTCAGCCAATTGGAGTGATGCACACCTGTAATCCCAGCAACCCGGGAATCTGAGGTAGGAGGATCAAAGTTCAAAGCCAGCTTTGCTAACTTAGCAAGACCCGATCTTAAAATAAAAAGGGCTGGGGGATAAAGCTTATGGTTGAGTGCCCCTGGGTTCAATGCCCAGCACCAAATATAAGTAAATAGATAAGTAATCAGTTCTTCGGTCACACAGACCGGAGTTAAATGTTCAATAGCCACATGTGACTTGTCACTACCATATTCAACAGCACAGATAAGGAACACTTTCATTGATGCAAAAATCCTATAGAGGGTATTGCTAAAGACTGGTACTGTCAATCAGCAAATGCATACTGAGCACCTATTTCATTACAGAGGCGTGTGCTGGGGGTGGTTCCCATCAGGTTCACCATAGTAAATTAGTTCAACACCTGACTGCTCCCTGCCACTTGCAGAGTACTGGCTAATTACTCTCACCTGGCACACTTTTCAAATTGAATAACACTTGCATGAATACCAAAGGGGTGAGTGTGTTAGGGGGCTTTCTTTCAATTTTTTGCATATTTTCCCTTTTAATTCAAAATACTTTTTAACTACTATTAATCCTTCCCTCCCTTCTTTCTAGGTGAGCACGGCTGGGCAGACGAGCCACAGAACAGGAATTACTTGTCTAGAACGGCCTCCTTCTGAGCTCCCACGGCAGGGCATTAGAACCCAGAACTCCAGACCCACATGGGGAGAAGGGCCTGAAGTTGGAGATAGGGACTCTGAGTCACATGGGGCAAGCCAACAGCTGTATCAGCCACATCCTCTGCACATCTTCTCCTTGACTGAGGTCCTGGGAAGGTTTCAGAACCCTGGCTTCTGCGTCCCACAAAGGGTTAACCAGAGCCCCTGGTGGACCCTGGCCTGCTCTTCATTCCCTACAAGGAGCATCATCAGTTGCAACAGTGGCAGCAGAGTGACACCCCACTGCCAACCCAGTGCTGGGCAGAAGCTCTCAGCAACTGCAGAACTCGTAAGAAGGGCTGCTGAGCAGTTGTGGCTGAAAGGGGAACAGGAGGAGGTGTTCCACCAGGACCGGGGCATCTCCCCAACATGGCTCCCTACAAGCACAGAGTTGGTCTTTAGGGACTTCCCAGCCCAGTTTAGCAGCTGACTTTCACAGAAGATCCATTCCATTCCTGAGGACCCCAAGGGAATGGAGAAGGAATGGAAAACTTCTTTTCCCTTAAAGCCTTGGAGACTGGAGTACTGTCCTGAAGCCAAGCCAGAGCCAGTTGAATCAGAAAGAGGTCTGGCCACCAGGCCCTGTCAACCCAATAGTCTCCTGGGTTGATTAGTCAACTGTCACATGCAAGCGATGACCTTCTTCTTTGCCATCTACTCCTGGTTACCAGAAGTGACATGGCTAGTGCCCATCACACACTGCCTACCCTAAATTACAGGCCACACTGGGAGCAGGTACTGAGATAACTGCCTGCCTGCGGCACGGGCATGGGGCAAGAAACCAAGTAGGCTTGGTGCAGGCTTCCATCCAAGTGTCCCGCCAAGGGAGGAGAAGAGCTGTGGCAAAGAGCCAAGCCGATGTGCAGAGATAGGAGCCTGAGAATGAGAGGGAAGCAGCCACTCTCTAAGCCAAGCCTCAGGTCCCGATCCAACTCTGCCCTGCAGCCACCGCCCGCTCTCTGCTCCACTCTCCTCTGATGCAGCCAGGGAGGTCTGGGAGCCCAGCGAGGGACCCGGGGGCGGGGCTGAGCCATGGGCATGATGCCGTGGGGATTGGAATGGAGGAATGGAGGGCTGCGAGTCCTGACCTGACAAGCTGGATATGGGTCAGGGCAAAGAAAAACAGTCACACCTCAGGACTCAAAACCACCTATTGGAAGCTAAGCCAGACCGGACACACTGAAGTCACGCAGATGGCTGCTGGCGCTGACAGTTCACGAGGTGCCCCACAGCCACTCAGCTCTGAGGACCAGGGGCTCAGGAACTAAACTACAGGCATAATTAGGCAGAGAACGGAGGTGCAAGGATTCGACTCCTGGCCAGAGCTGTTGCTGCTACCGACAGGACTCTGAGGGGGTACAGTGGGGCTCGATTTCAGCACAAATGTCTCGTGAGTAGCAACGGCCTGAAACAATCCAGTGATAAGTGACACCCAACAGGGTCAGTCCTTGTGCTGCCTGACTCAAGCTGGGGAAAGCAGATCTACTCAGAACCTCGAGCTCAACACACCCAGACGAGCCAAGGGTGTGTGGGCCTAGAATACTCTAGTTGAATAAACTCTTGGATCAAGTTCAGGGTCAACCCAAGGTAGTCTTCTCAGAGGTGGTGTATTTGGCAGAGGAGGAAGTAGGGTGTTTCTAAGGAGATCGAGAAGAGTCTTCCAGGATGGATAAAGTTTGTTGGGACTACAGGAGGGTAAATATGGGGTCAAGGTGGACCCAGGAAGCAGCTCTGCCCAGCTGGAGCTGATGTTGAGCATTAAACGTAGTGCCAGGCCTGAAGAGGTACAAACCAACTGCAAACCCAGTGGCACAGAGCCACAGCCCCACCACCCACATAGGCTGTGTAGGGCGAGTGTGGCGGAGGCCTCTCCAGGCAGGGGGCTCACCTCGGCCCAGAGGGGGAACACTGGCAGGAGCAGGCTGGCTGTTGCGCCTCTCGCCCAGGTGGTGCTGGAGCTCCCGCAGCTTCTTCTCCTCCTGCAGGGCCATGTGCTTCCGCTGCCGGCGGGCCTGCCTGCTGAGGTTCTCCTCCAGGCACAGCCGCCGCGCTGCCTCAGTGATCTGCAGTTGCAGGGCCAGCTGGCGCTCTAGGCTGCTCAGGGGGTCCTGAGGGACAGGGCAAGAGGCAGGGGCTCAGGAGGCCATAACAGTGCAACCCAGCCGCCTGGGTCCTGTCCCTAATCCCAGAGCATGCAGTGGAAGCAGATAACATCATCCAAAGATGCAGAGCGGAGGGTGGAGCGGTGGCAGGTGCCCAGAGCCAACACGACAATATGAGAGGTTGGCGTAGGCACCCACCCCAGCCTGCCCCTGCCAAGCCTGGCTGAGTGGAAACCCAAGAGGGACACTTTCCCTCCTGAGCCCAAAGGGTTGGGCAGGCCAGCCCATGGGAAACCATGCCATTCTCACCACGGGGAGGACACCCAAGGCCCGAGTCACCCCCACCTCCTTTCTCCTAAACTGAGACGGAGGACAGCCCTAGGGGCCAGGGCAACCTGTCTGAGCAGGCAGCTGCTTCTCTTAACTGATCCTCTGCCCACTCTGGGGCCAGACCCAGTGTCCTCCCTCGAGTTTCCAGCTCTCCAGCTCCTGAGGTGACATGCTTCTCCCTGGCGATCTGGGCTACCCAGGAGAGAGTACCTCTCAACCACACCAAGACAAGCACCCTCACGGGCTGCAAAGGGGTGAAGGAGGCTGATCCCTGTCTCTCTGTAGTCAGCCTTCGGGGAATGACGAAGAGTGAGGTTTCTGCAGTCCTCACCTCTCGGTGCAAGGCCCGCTCATCCAGCTTGTAGGCTGCTCCAATCCTGCGGCGCACCTTGGGGGCCTTTTCCCCAGGTTTGAGGGGATATTCTGCTGGCAAGGTGCCTGTCAGCTCCTGGGGGGAAGCAAAGTCAAGCCTGGTCCCTCTCCACTCGCCCAGTCCTTGGCCAACCACTCACAGCCTGTCCACAGCCTGTGCCTGGGCCTCCCCTTCCAGAGGCTCCTGGGACGACTGGACCACTGGGGCCTCTGCCCACCACTCACCTATCCCATCGCTCCCCGGGGTTGTCTTCCCATCTTTAGGATGTCCCACACTCTTCCCCTTTTCCTTCACATCTCTGATCCCTTCCTCCAGAGGGCTGCACCGCCCCCCTTTCCAGTTCTCAGAGACACTCACATCTCCTCCCCCCGTCTATAGCCCCTCATACCCCACCTTCCCTGTGCCTGGGCCCCTGCTATCCTCTACCCTGTGTCCAGATCAAATGCCATGTCAGAGGGACTCTGGGCCCAGACTCTTGTCTAGATTTCTAGAATTCCCTTAAGAATGGGATCCCCCGAGTCATCTCCAGTATCCCAAAATGTGACTCCAGAGCCCCTCAGATTAGCTTAAATCCGGGGGACCGGGCCCGGGCACCGACTGCTACCCACCGCCTCCCGAAGGCAGAGCCTCCGCAGCTCCTCCAGGCAGGCCTCCAGCCGCGCCTCCAGGGCCCTCTGCTGCTTGCGCATGGCATGGGTCAGCTCCTTCATTGGGGAGACCGGGCTGTCTGGGCCTGCAGAAGCAAGGGACACCATCAGGGAAACTAAAGCGCTCAGGAAAGCCTTTGTGGAACACGAGCTGACCACCCCTGGGGGAGCACACACCCATACACACACACACACACACAGACTCATGCCTACCCACAAATTACAGGCTAGCTGCTGTGGCCTGTGTCATAACCACAAAACACCACGTTTCCTTGGCTGTCCAGAGTGGCAACGTTACAGATCAGAGGGAAGGGCTGCTTACCAGGTGACCTGCAGTGGGGGAAGGGCTGCAGGTCAGACTGCCTCACCTCTTCCCCTTTCTCCCCCAGACCCCACGCACACACACACACACACACACACACCTCTCCTGACCTCTGTCAAGACTAGGCCCCATTACAGACTCAGGCCAAGCAGAGAGACAGGACCTTTATACTGGCCAGATACAATTTTCCAACCTCTTTTTTGGGGGGTGTACCAGGGATTGAACCCAGGACTTTTAACCACTGAGCCACATCCCAGCCCCTTTTTAAATTTTATTTAGAGACAGGGTCTCGCTGAGTCGCTTAGGGACTCACTCAGTTGCTGAGGCTGGCTTTGAACTCACGATCCTCCTGCCTCAGCATCTCTAGCCTCTGGGGTTACAGGCGTGCGCCACCAATTTAGTAATCATTGGAGCTAAAGTTGAACACTGCAGTACCCTATTGCAGATAGGACTGAAACTTGAGGCCAAATCCCTTTTAGGGAAGAAAACTTCAAGTGTCCCTGAGGCTCCATCTCTCTGTCCCCTCCCTCCCAGCCTCCTCAGCCTGGCCAGCCCCTGAACCTGGGGACTCAGGACTCAGGGCTGGGGGACCAGGGAAGTGGGATTTCCCCGATACACTCACCAGACTGCAGGATGATGCCACTATCAGTGTCGCTGACCTCATCCTTACTCTCCATGGTGGATTTCTGGGAGGAGGGGGCACAAAGTAGGGAGGAGCAACACCAGTCGTGGCCTGGGACAGGATGTGTAGGTAGCCTGGAATTCCCCCAGCTTTTAAGAGAAAAGAGAACAATAACCAAAAAAGCCCTAAATAAATCCCTTTGGTTCCAAAAAGAGCTCAGGAATAGATGCTTGAAGACAGAAGTGATCAGGTCGGGGCACACTGAAGGCTCTCTGGAGGTCAGCCTTGCTCCCCATTGGGCCTCTTTCCAGAGAGATGATAAAATGGAGGGCACAAGGAAGATGGGATGGGATGACAAAGTAAAGAGGAAGGAAAGGAGGAGGGGAGTCGATATCTTCATGGGCATCGCTGTCCTCAGCCCAAGAACCTGGAAGGCATGAGGCATGTCCCACTCACTGCCCCAGTGGGTGAGGGCACTTCAGGAAGTAGTTGGATACTGGACACCTGGCCAAAGCTGGTCTGGGGGCCCCAAAGCCCAGGTCACCCAGGTCTGTGTGTAAGCAGGTGCAGCTACTCTATGACAGAGCTGTCCAAAGCCCTGACATGATTCCTGAGCCACCAACTCCACCTAGGAGATTTCTTAAGGGGAGTCAGCCCAGGTGCCCTATAACCCACAGCCAGGGCAGGCATGAATTGTCAGGACCTGGGGGTGGGGGCAGTGACAGAGAGGTGACCCAAGCCCAGGAAGGCCACCTGCTCCTCTACCCTCTGGGGGGCAGGGGCAGCTCAACAGCACTTGAGTGGTAGGAGTGCAATCCCAGTTGTATGTCACCCAGCGGGGCACCAGTCGTCACCTGTGCCCTCACCAAATCCACACCCCCTACTCCAGGTCCCATCTGGCCAGAGTCTGGCAGCTGCTGGCTGGAGCAGGGGTGGGGAGGGAGGGTGGAGCCCAGGCAGGATCTGGAAGGAGAGGCGGGCCACCTCCTCACTGAGTCAGCCCGTTGAGCAAGAGTCCAAAAGTCCTTCCGAGTTTCTGTCGGGAACTTATCCTGCCAGCCTCTTGAGAGCACAGGGAAGGAGGTAAGCTCCCCTTCCCCCCACGGGGGGGAGCCGACAGGACAGAAAGAGGCCTTGGGGAAGCTGACCACACAGCAAGCCAAGGGGACTGCTGAACCTCTGCCTATCCAGAGACAGAAAGAGCAGGAACAATGGACCTATGTTTATAGACCTGTGCAAACAACACCGCTTATCAGTGTGCCATGAGCAGCAACAATTAAAACCAGAACCCTGAAAACAATGTGTACCTTGCACTTTGGAATTTCAATTTTCCAAGAAAGTCTAGAGAATGTATGATAGGAAAAAAAAAAAAAAGATTATGTGGGGCCTTTACAAACATATCAAAGAAAGAGATTGGCCATAAATTCTGGGTACCCAGGGAACTTAGGGTGACTGTTAGCTCTGTACTGTCCATCCCTCCCAGGACAAAGGAGCAGGTAGCTCAGCCCTCCTCCAGAGCTAGGCATCCTCTTACCTTCCCAGCAACCCTAAAGGGGAAGGGACCCTCAGCCTGCAGGCCCCAGGAGGAGCTAGGAAGCCGAGAGCAGTCTCAGCTGGCACCCGGAGCCTTTTTGGACAAAGAGAGGAGGTCATGTGGGAGGGGAAGCCATTAATTAGTCACACTTACAATTAATTATTAACCACTAAGGAGTTGCCTTGGAAAGTTGGGAGGACTCGGGCCCTGCTTCTCAGAGTGGGGACTTCCAGGGACTGCGGGGGGAGGGTGCCTCAGCATGTCTCCTCCATCCTCCATCCCTCTCCAGGGGCCAGCCCAGTCCCTCACTGCCAGGGTCAAGGGGGAGGCACTGACACACTTGGTGGTCCCCATCTAAGGCTGGGTCAACTCTGGGTGCTAACCTGCTGCTCCACAGATAGCACCAAAGCCTTGGTCCCGGGTCGGTTGTGCCCGTGTTACCTGGGGGGTTACCTGGCCCTGCTGAGCCACCTTTCCTCAGATGCACAAGGAAGAGGAGACAGGGCCTGAAGCCCTTCCTGGCTCCCTGAAGATGGATTTGTCCTCTTAGACAGTCTATGTGAAGCTGAGAAGGAAACCAGGGAGCAGACCCCACCCCTGCACTGGCAGCTGTGAGGAACCTGTCCCAGACTCCACAGGAGCAGGCTCAGGCCCCACCCCCACCCCGAGGCGGGAGTCTAAGGTGTCTGAGGCTTTGCTAGAGATAAAGGTGGACTGAAGGTGACACCCCCTCCCCAACCCAGGAATCCCTCCAAGCCCTCCAGGCCCTCCCGACCCTCTGGCCCAGCCCTAGCGCTGGGCCTAAGAAGCAGCCCACCTGACCCGCGTCCTCAGAAAAAGGCAGAGGAGGAAAGAAGGGGTGCAAGGAGAGAAAGGGAAACTCTACGGCACTTCCTCCCAGGCAAGCCATTGAGGATCCCCCCAATCACAAATGTGCCCCCAAAGCCAGGTCCTGGACGTCTCTGTTCCAGCTCATCTCTGCTTGCCTTTTCTCTGGTGAAAATTAAGTCCAGGCCACAGGGACAGGCTCCCTGTCCAAGCTCACCGACAGCTCCCTATTATCCCTGGGCCCCAGAGAGGAGCTGGGGGGTTGGACAGGGTGGCCATTGCCTGAGCTCCCTCATCTCCAGCCAGCCTGCCCCACAGTCCCAGAGACCCGCTCTACCCTGCCCTACCCTCACCTGCTTCAGGGCTTTAGTCCAAGAGTTCCGGAAAGACCCCCTGCTCCCAGGTCAGGGGGGCATGGGGCCTCACATGTCACCTCGGGGGCTCCCAAGCCACAGGTCAGCCACTCTGTGCTCTCTCTCTCTCTCTCTGACCGGCTCCAGTTCTCCACAGGCGGCTGGCTGCCCCTGGCTGACTGTCCCTCCCGCCGTCCCTCCCAGGCTGCTGGGCCAGGGGAGCCAGGTTGCTTGTTAGGACTTGAGTCAGAGGGGAGGAGCAGGTGAGCAAGTCCTTCCCTGAACTAATCCTGCTGCTGACTGTTGCCAGCAGGCAGGCCGCTCCTGGGCCTCTGCACTTCCGGGGCCAGAGGGGAGCAGGGACACGGGGCTCTCTCCATGAGGAATCCAGAAGGAACAGGGGTCCCGACTTCATGACCACAAGGCCTCGGTGCGATGTGCTGAGCTGTGGGACGCCTCAGCGCCCTCCTGACCTGCCTGGATCTCCCTGCTTTCTTTGTGTGGCAGCTTCTCTTTCCAGAAATCAAGGAATGTTAAGCCCCTGAAAACAGGGTAAAAAGTTCACTGTCTGTGGCTAATACCAGCAAGAAATTTACAAATCGACAAGGAAGGTCATTGCTGTTCCCCTTAAACTGAAATGGAGACCCTATTCTGAGTGTGGGCTCTTCCAAATTAGGAGGATTTTAAAACCTCAGGCTGAAGCTGGGGGCCATGGTGTGTGCCTGTGGGCCCAGCATTTGGGAGGCTGAGGCAGGAGGATCACTTGAGCCCAGGAGTTTGAGGCCAACCTGAGCAACACAGTGAGACCTTCATGACCCCAAACCTTTAGTGCACTCCTCAAACGCAAGGAACAAAAGCGGAACCGTTCTGTACAAAATAATAAGCCTCTAGGTCTCCCATTTTATTGACTCTCAAACAAATGGCAATCTATTTGGAATCCAGCCTGTTTTAAAGGGGGAAGGAGGCCTAGGCTGACCCTTGCAGGTGGAGATATGCTACAGTCTAGGGCTGTGCCCTGAGTCTTCATCCCATTACCTCCCCTCCCTCAGCCCCCAGATCCTTCCACCATGCAGTTCAAAGATCCCAGCACCTTAACACCTGTCTAGATCTCTCTCCTCCCACACCCCTAAGCACCCCTGTCTCCGACACCCCCCACCCACTGCCCCCAACCCTCAGTGCAGGAATGACCGGATGCTCTCATCAAGCATCTCCTGTGAAGCAAACTCTATCACAGAGTCTGCCACCTCCCCTTCCCCTTCTCTGGCACGCCCCCACTCTTTCTCATTCCTGTACACACCCTCTTTCCAAACAACACTAGCCCCAGAGTCCTCCAGGCTGACCACCTCCTCCTCTAAAAGGCTAAGAGGCCCTCACAGGGGACAGTCCCTTCCCAGGGTGGGATGCATGCTCTCTGGGTCTCCCAAAGAACCTTTAGCCCTTCCCCCCTCAGCCCTCCACAAAGCAGCAGTGGCTCCCCAGCCCCCTACAGGTTTGTACTTTCTTCCAGTGTCAAACAAAAAAGGGTTGGCTCTGGGCATAAGCAGCCCTTCTTCTGCCTTGCCCATCTCCCCAGATCCAAGTGAGGAGGATGGTGGAAGTTTCTAGAATCATCTCATAGCTCAAAATTTTTAATGCATAAAGTAAAATTAAGAGAATCACTAAGAGAACCAATTATATTGAGATACAGTTCTAAAATCAGAAAACCATAACAACATTCATGCTTCTTTATTAACATTAAATATCCAGCAGTGGATAATTTCATGCACTTTCCTATTGACAGTGTCAACAGCCTTCCAGGATAGCCGCAGAAGCTGCGATGTGATCTGGAATGGGGAATCCTGTTAATGGCAATGGATTGCGTTTGCAATCCTCTGCGTTCTCTCCAAAGATGTCTTGGTGCCTTCAGGTTGCTCACTGAGTTCAGGGAAGAGAGGGAATTCAGCTAAGGCCTGTGCACACCCAGACATGAATACTTAACTTGTCTTCCAGGGAAAACCTTAAGGCCTTTCGCAAATGATTCTTATGATATGGAACCAGCTTTCCAAGAATGGACGTGAGCAGAAGACAAGTCCTCTGGTCAATGATGTCACCAGCTCAAAATCCTCTGAGCAGGACATAATTACCGCCCCCCCTCAAAAGAGGCGTGCCTTCCAATCAGCAAGAAAAATCTCCTTCTCCCTTCCTATAAATCCCCCAACTACCAGTTGATCAGGAATGCAGATTTGAACTTACAGTTCCTGGCCTCCTTGCTGGTGGGCCATGAAATGAAGCTTTTTATTTTACAAAACTCTGCTGTCAAAGAATTGTCAGCTACGTGTGTTGGACAGCAAGCCCTTACTCAATAACAAAAGTACAGACTGACCAGTTTGCATTGAACCTTGGAAATTCTAGAAGAAACCTTGCTACCCCAAAACTTACACCCAGCATTTTCCAACCCAACAGAATCTAGGGTTTGGAATGAGGCTGGCAAACCCATCATGCCACCAAGAACCTGAGAAGGGGCTGATTGCCATGACAAACAACTCAAAACACCAGGGGTAATGTGGGCACTCCAGCTTGGAATTTGGAACCCAGAACCCGACTTGGGCCAGACTAGGAGTCAGGAACTGACGCTGTAGCCTCAAATCCCAGGGCACCATCACCAAGATCACCAGTAGGTGAGGAAGTGGGGTTTCCTTGCATGGTGTTATAGTTCTTGGAATCTGGCCTAGGTGGACAAGAGCCCTCCCTCAGGTTGAGAAAAACTGCTTTAGGATTTCATTTGCTTAAAAAAAAAAAAAAAATCAGTCCTGAGTCAGAAATATCCACAACTCTGTAGCCCCACAGCTCTGTCATGTCTTTTCAAAGTTCCTTGTATGAAGTTTATTGGGATATGCTAGGATCCAAAATTTTTCAAACCATCCTACCAACTCCACACCCCCAACAGCACCGGGACAAGTACAGTCACAAACACTTCTGAATTTTTGCTAAATGAATTAACAAGTCCATGATCAGATACTAGAGCTAACAGTGGAAAAAGGAGGAAGGGAAATAGCCCAAAACCCTCCAGGCAAGAAAAGGGAGATGTGTTTTCTTTCTCCACTCTCCTCCCTGCCCACTGGGAAAGGTGTTCGCCTCCACCGGGCAATGGTGGAGTGAGTGGGCTGGGACAGAGGAACTCCGGGGTAGCAGGAATGAGCCCTGAAACCAGACCTCTAGGCTTCCAGTAAAAAGCCCCTTTGTCCTGTCCACCCCGCTCCCCTCCCCCACCGCGCCCTCTACTTCCAGGCCGGCCGGAGACTTTGCTCCTTTTGTTCGACTGCGTCTGGCTTCCCGGAACCTGGCCAGGAGACCCACAGGCCGGGGGAAGGTGGAAGGAGAAAGGTTGCGGATTTGCAGATATGCATTTTGGGGGAGTTCAGAATTACCGCCCCCTAGATATAATTACCGCATTCCCGGTAAGAGACCCCCCCGCCCCCGACTGCGCAAAGGATGAAGACCGTGGTTCAGTGGTTTGATCCCCCTGGTTCACGCGCGCTGGGTCCCCCTTAAGTTTTCCCCTTACCTGTCCCATGGAGCTCTGGCGCCTCCCGCCTGCCTCGGTGCCCCCCGCGCCCGCCTCGCAGCTTCAGGACCTGTTTGTCCGGGCCATCTTCCCACTCCCCGAGACTGCCCCCGGACTTCCCTCCTCCCCGGAGGTATTTCATTTAACTTCGGCATTTGCAGCATCCCAAATGTTAAAGATCCCAAGACATCTGTCCCCTGGGGCATACCAAGGACCCGAGGAAAGAGGGGAAGATAGAGGAAGGGACTCGAGGTTCTGATCCAAGAGTCGGAGCGGGGCCTCGTGTTGGGGTGGGAAGGAGCTGATGGGGGTGGGTGTCCTGTGGGAGCAGCAGCTCCAGGGGGGAGGCGGTCCCCCTTCTCCCGCCTCCGGACGCCCGCCAAGCGGGACACCCCCGGCGCTGCCAGATCCCGCAGCCCAGGCGGGAGGAGGCTCCCCTCATCGGCGCGCTCCGCCGGGCTGGGGGCAGGTTTCATTCCAGGAGACCCCAGGATGGAAGAATGAGGGGTTGGCAGAAGGGGGCCGCGCCCCTCCCACTTCTCGCTGCACAGCAGTTTGCTGCGGGGCAGCGGGAGTCCGGGTCCAGCTGAGACCGAATCGCGTCCCCTCCCGCGGCCCCAGCCCGGTCCTCCTGCTGGGGACCCGCTGGCTGAGGCCGAAGTGCGCTCCTGGGGAGCGCCTCCTACTGCTCCGTGCGAGCCGATGGATCGGTCCATTCATTCACTCTCTTTCCTGTTTTCATTTTCACTTAACATTTACTGAGCACCTACTTTAGCACCTACTAAGGTCCAGCATGGTGGTTCAAAATTCAAGCTCCTTCCCTGGAAGGTTCCTTCCTCTAAGTCACGCAACGATTGTATCAGAGAAGTAGGGACAGGAAACTGTAGAGGGGAAGGTTGACCCAGCAGGTTGACCCAAAGCCTGGTCAAAGGAAGATGTCAGAAGACTTGAGACCGCACAGTGGTAAAGGAGCACAGCAGGTCCCAG